TATCTGCACCCGTTCACACTGATGACGAGAAACGTGCGCCAAAACAACCCGGGGCGGCACCGCTTGGACTCCGCGTGACGCTCGTGCCGGTGCGCATGCACGCGCGCGTAGGTATAAAAATCCCACAGCACAACACCCTGAAACATCATCGCCTCGACCTCGGAGTCCAAGACACCTTTTTCCGCCACTTTCTCGCGACACCGACGCCACGTCGTCGCACAGCCACCACCCCGCCATGGCGCCGAGGCTGGAGCGCGGCGGGTTCCAGCTCCCCAACACCGAGCAGGAGAACTCCCTCTTCCTCCGCGCGCTCATCTCCGTCGTGTCCGGGGACACCGCCGCGTTGCCCCCGGTGGCGTCAGCGGCGGCCGCAGTAGAGGCTCCGGCTCCCGCTCCCGCGGCGTGCGCCAGGTGCGGCGTGGACGGGTGCCCCGGCAGCGGCTGCGAGCTCGTCGCCGGGTCGAGCAGCGACAGCAACGGCGCAGAGTGCTCCGCGTCCGCGAGCCGCAGCAACGGCGGAGGAAGCGTGGGCAAGCGGAGAGGAAGGGGGAAGAGGGTGAGCCAGTACATGGGCGTGCGGCGGCGGCCGTGGGGCAAGTGGGCGGCGGAGATCCGCGACCCGCGCCGCGCCGTGCGCAAGTGGCTCGGCACGTTCGACACCGCCGAGGACGCCGCGCGCGCCTACGACGTCGCCGCGGTCGAGTTCCGGGGCCACCGCGCCAAGCTCAACTTCCCGGCGGACGCTGCCGCCGCGGCGCCGGCGCCTTCGTGGGCGGGGGCGGCTGTGCAGCCGCACCACCGTCCATTGCCCGATCATCAGAGCCTCCGCGAGAACTGCGGGTCCAACGCCGCGTCGCCGGTGCACGTGGCGCAGGCGCCGACCACGCAGCAGGGACTAATAAGGCCGGTGCCCAAGGAACAGGACATCTGGGACGGCTTGAACGAGATCATGATGATGGATGACGGCAGCTTCTGGTCCATGCTATGATCCTGCTCCTGCACCTTCGTCCATCCATCTCCGGATCTTTTCCTCTTGTTTTAGTGCTTTTTATTTTGGGTTAAGTCAATTTACACCTCCAACTTGCAGCAAAGTTCGGTTTCAACCTCGAACTTCAAAACTGGACAACTTTGGTCCTCCAACTCTTGAAAAAGTTCAACTTTTCGACCTTGTAAGCGATTTTTGCGGGTGAACAAAATTGTCGTGTGATGAGACTCAAATTTTAAAAATAGAAAACCCTTCAATACGATGTCGGATGAAGATAATTTTTATATCTAAATTGTAGACCTCGATGAGATCTACAACTTTGTAGTTTTGAGTTTTTTCTTTTGAGGACAGTAAGATGCTCGAAAAAATAATATAAAATTTCAGCACCATATTTTATCGCGTGATGAGACTCAAATTTCAAAAAATAGAAAACCCTTCAATCCGATGTCGGATGAAGATAATTTTTATATGTAAATTGTAGACCTCGTAGAGATCTACAACTTTGTAGTTTTGAGTTTTTTCATTTGAGGACGTTAAGATGCTCGAAAAAATAATATAAAATTTCGACGTCTCCCGAAAATATAAAAAGTTACTGTTCACCCGCAAAACCGCTCACAAGGTTGAAAGTTGAACTTTTTCAAGAGTTGGAGGGCCAAAGTTGTCCGGTTTTGAAGTTCGAGGTTGAAATCCGAACTTTGCTGCAAGTTGGAGGGTGTAAATTGGACTTAACCCTTTATTTTATGATGATGAGATTCCATGATTGTTTTTTTTAGGAAGAGATTCCATGATCTCCCTCTGAAAAGAGAACACTTAGGCTTCATGAGATTGCTTGGCATGCAGACGTACGTAAAGTAAGTTTTAATTTGGTGCCATAGCTCACGGTGGCCACCAGATTCGTCAGTCACCAATCGCTTTCATATGACTTTTACACCGACCTCTGACCACCGTCGTCCGTTTACACAGTACTATGTGAGTCGATGAGTGGCTACAAAGAATCCAGCTAGCGTTCCTCCGTTCGTTCGCCTTCGTTACCTTTGACCACGGGCGCTGCACGTATGCACGTGCACCCACCTCCACCTTTACTGACAAACGTTATAAGCTCATGGCTGAACTGTCGGCTGATTTAGTGTGAGAGAAAAATAATATTCGTTGACTAATAAATCATAGCTTATAAGCCAAATACGCAAACAGGCTGTTAGTATGTCCGTATCCCGACCGACGTTGATGCATTGATGCAAGCCGATTCAAGACGTAGAAGGGATGCATGCGGACAGGCAACTCCGATCTGTCACGCTTTCGCTGTTCACCCTACAATGATGCATCAGTTGGTAGTTCTACTTCATTGTAGTTTTTTTTTCTTTGACGATGAAGCAGCTCCGATAGAATTTAAGGTGTTTTGCGACTGCACCTGTGGTCTAGTGAGACGTTATCCATTAGGGTTTGAACCCTGTTGATCGCATCTTTTTTTAGAATTTTTTCAAAAATTTTAAGGTACACGTATGCGTGCGCATTCGGTGGTACTGCGCGTTTCTCGCGCATTAGAGGCGGCGACGCCGTCTCCCAATCACTTCTTTCCGTGTGTATGGACGCGCATGCGTGTGTCTGCGTGTGGTGTGAGCGTGAAGTGTGTGTTTTGTGTGCGACCAAGTTGTACTCGATCAAAAAAAAAGAATTTTTGGTGTTTTATAGAAAAAACAAATTTGATAAAACATTTTTCCTAAATATTAAAAACACTCAAAAATAAAATGTCTATAATATCTTTTTCTTTTTTCTTCCTCTATTTATTTTCTTTCTCACTTATGACTTATTTTACCCTTTTCTCTCTTCTCTATGCGGCTTATCTTCTCCACGGGATCCTTCTCCTCCGCACGAGGAGACCCTTCTCCACCACACAGTTTTAGGGTCTATTTAATAACCCTAACAGGACAATTTTGATCCTAGACAGTTAAAATCCAACGTTTGAGAATGTTTTGCCTACCAAACAGATGTATTGGGTGTCAAACTAAATAGATGCTTATTTTATTATTTTTAGCTACCACATTAGTAAATAGTATTTGAGTCAGGGCTCAAATAACCTCTTCAATGCATGGTTTTTATTTTTTATGTTTTTATGAAATTGTTGCATTTAAACTTGGAAACTTTGTCTATGAAGTTATCTAGTATGGTTAGGTGCAATCCTATCAAACGAGAACAAAGCTCCCATTAAGATGGGTCCAAGGCTAAATAAGCTAATCCAAGTGGACAGTAACATACTTATTAATCAGATGTTATATAGAAAAACTATGTAGTGTTATATAGAAAAATTATATAGTGTTGAGGGACTAGATCTCCTTGGAAGACCCAAATAGAGGTTTAGGTTGCTTCATGTAAAAATCAGTTTCATCAAGGGCCTGCTTGTAAGTGACCACTTTCCTATGTAGAGTGCCTAATAAGTGCATAATGAGGGGAGGAGAGAGTTCTCTAGAATGGAAAGGAAGCCCTAATTCTTGTTATCCTGAGCTAGAGAATGAAGAACGTTCAAGGAAAGGTTAATTCTCCGAGAGCATTCGAGAGAAGGTTTAACCTCCGAGAGACCCTTTAAAAAAGGTTTAATCTCCAAGAACCTTTGAGAGCATTTAAGACCAGGTTTAACCTTCGAGAACCTCGGAATGAAGGTTAAACCTTCTTCTTTATAGGAGAACCTCCAAAGAAACGTAGAACCTCTAAAATCTCCAAAGGAAGGTAAGGCTTCGAGAACCTCCAAGGGAAGTTGCGGCAATCCAATAAAACCTTCGCTGGTCTTTGTAAAAGCGTTCTGATGAAGTGAAATAAGATCTCCGAACGTTGTTTCACCAACGTGTACAATCTTAAAGTTTATTGTCAAACAATATAATGATACCATATGTTGAGGGAGTTATATTATAATTATCATAACAATGTAAACGCGTGATCACTGAGGACAGCGGATAGCCATAGCCTAAGCCAGACGGCAATGGGCAACGCGCAGCACCGCCCGGAAGCAGACAGCTTGTAGAGTTGTAAGGTGTAGCAGACCACGTGGATCGGACTTGCTTCGGAAGTTCGGGTGATATTCTTGTTTTTTATATGCTTACTAATAAACAAGTGATATTCTTTTGGAAGCAACTAGATGACCATAGGAAAATCGTATTGTATATTTTATACACAGTACAGGCAATAATACGGAGCACGTAGCCACGTCGTACGAGGCTGGTACGCGCCTACGCGGAAAGCACGTCGGTGCAGTCGGCGAAGCCGATCGGTGCAATCAAACAGTTGGTCTTAGCTGGATCACCATCAATCACAATCAGGATTGTATTGACCTTGAAATTTGTTTGTGATTTTTTTAAAGTTTTTGTGTGGCGGCTTAGCACTGGCGTTGAGAATAAATATTGGAATATGATTATGCTATTTTTTATAATAATTTTTGAAATCTCGTGTCCTCCGTACGAATCATTTGTAGTTTTATACCACTGGAAGGTATTGCTGCGCTACTGTATGATTGTTTTATCATGTTACTCTCGGTGGTTACAAATGCTTGTCATGTATACTCTGTACTCTCAAGCTAAACTTTCGATGCATTTCTTGAAAAAAGAAAACACCCATTTTTTCGGGAAAAAAAGAAAAAAAACTAACGAAACAGTGAATGCAGACGAACACGGCCCGGCAGAGGCCCATCTGTTGTTTCCCGTCTCAGCCTGAAAAAAGAAATACCACCAACCAGTTCGTGCAGTCCACAGACCACAGATAATGTGGCCCAAAAAGTTGTCATCACCTTATCAGATCGGAGCCTGGCAAACAACCACATTCTTGCGCTTTTCCGCCTAGCATCAGCATCACAGCCCGTCAGCCTTTGAACGAAGCAGCGAACGCCTCTAATTCCATATCCAGAACCGAGAGCTTCCTGCCCAACACCCCCGGCCAAAAGACAAGAGCAAGCACGAACGCCCAATCCCCGGCTGTATTTTGTCCCGCAAGACAACAAACATCTCCGGCAGCTACGGTGGCTGTGGCAGCCATGGCGTCCACTGTAACAGCCGCCAATAGCCATGGAAGCGTCCTGCGTACCCGTACCGCCCCCTCCTGCAGGCAGCTCGCAGGTTGGAGCAGCAGACGCACGCTTGCCATGCCTGCACACCACGCGCGGTCACCCAGAGCTCGAGTTGTCGCCGTCCGAGCCGCCGGCACCCAGCGGCCGACCTGGTTGCCCGGACTGGACCCGCCTCCTCACCTCGACGGCACGTCGGTTTTCTGACGCTCTGATATCTCCCGGTGTTTCTCTGCAGGCGATGATCAGTTGACAGTGTAGCGTCTCTGATTGCAGACTACCAGGTGATTTCGGCTTCGATCCCCTGGGCCTCGGCGAGGATCCGGCAAGCTTGAAGTGGTACGTTCAGGCCGAGCTCGTGCACTGCCGCTTCGCTATGGCAGGGGTCGCCGGCATCCTTTTCACTGACGTAAGTTTCTCACCTTCCCGTCTGTTTGTCAAAGTACTCCCTTTCATTACATGGACTTCACAATAACGAAGCCAAGCCAAAGACAACTCCAATTAGAAAACTGAACCAGCCAAGACAACTCCAATTAGGAATTGCTGATGGATTCAACACAAAAGTAAACACCCTCAAAAAATTTCAGTTACGAATTGTGGGCTTTACCCTGGTTAGAGGGAGCCCTTCCAAAAATTCTCTGTGGCCCTGGTGGGCCGCAGAGGGGGTTTGGAAATAGTTTTCAACCAGCAATTGACGCGCCTCGGTATTACCTCATGAGCTGCGTCATTGCCCCAAGCGCAAAGATGAGTTCCAACGTCAGCCCACAGCCTGGTTTTATACATCTCTGAGGACGCGCGTTCGCTAACATAGGCGATGCGGTACTAAACGGCAAACCGACCTACTACTGCTGTGTGTTATCCCGGCGGGCTCGGCCTGCAAAGCTGCAACGCCAAGTAGAGCTGCCCAAGTGCCGATTTGGGCTTTTCCTCTTCCATTTTACTCCCTGCTAATCATGGGCCTAGTAGCGAAAGCCAAGATTCACATGGGCTTTACTGATTTGGAGAACAAGGCTGACTCCTCAACCCTTGCTTTGCTTGTGACTCTTTGGTTTTTGCAGTTGCTCCGTGTATCAGGGAACAGCGACCTCCCCGTGTGGTTTGAAGCAGGTGCGGCGAAATTCGACTTCGCAAACACCACGGCGCTCTTCTTCGTTCAGCTTCTCTTGATGGGGTAAATTCAACTTTAACATCCAAACATTTCGATAGAAAATGGGATAGGCTGTGATTTGATTTCATGTTTTCTATTCAACTCCGCTCCCGACAGATTCGCTGAAACAAAGAGGTACATGGACTTCAAAAATCCAGGATCACAAGCAGAGGAAGGAACATTCATAGGGTTAGAGGCTGCACTTGCAGGTCAACAGCCAGGGTAAGTGAGCGTTGAAGCATAAAAATTTACCTGACAGGACTTAGCTACGCTCATTACGTTTTTTTTCAATTTCGACAGCTACCCTGGGGGTCCACTGTTCAATCCACTAGGACTTGCAAAGGATATAGAGAATGCTCATGAAGAGAAGCTGAAAGAAATCAAGAATGGTAGGTTCCTCTCGGTACAATTTGCGAGAAAAATAAGCCTACACTTAGTTTGCTAATAACGTGATTTCTTACTGTCACAGGGAGGTTGGCAATGGTAGCCATGCTTGGTTTCATGGTGCAAGCATCAGTAACTCATGCCGGCCCTATCGACAATCTTTTGACACACCTTTCGGACCCGTTCAACAAAAATATCATCCACGCATTCTCCTCTTCCTAAGTACTCGTCCCAACTCCCAAAACCTTTGTTTTCCCTGTCCATTGCTATGGCACAAAAAGGTCACAATGTCTTCTAACAGGAAGTGGCCCTTGTTAGCTCTGCTCTTCGCAGTTTTCTATCATGAAAATTGAATAAAAGCTTCAATAGCTGACGAACTGTATTAATAGCTCATGGTAGGGGGGACGGAAGACAAGGAAATACAGCTTATCATTCTTTGCCATTGATCATAGTCCTCAGTATATTTGCCCACTTTCATTTTCTTGGTCGATTTTTTCCCAGTTCAAGCATGCTATAATTGCATGAACAGATGCTATGAGAGATACAGATAATTTTTTTTAGAAAGGCGGGAGATACAGATAATTTATATGTACAAAACCGTTATAGTTGCCCTAAGCTTATATATACCTGACCACAAGCAGCATACCGTGCCATTTCGTATTAACTACATCACTCAAATCTTGCCTTCAATATAAATACAAACTCGAACCTATATACCTGAAAAATTCATAGCACAAAGCATTCGGTTGTACTGTACATATATGAATTAAACAAAGAAAAAACACCGCATCTAGTCATCTACAGCTCACCCGTATCAACTAGCTTGAGGCCCCAGCTCATGTCTTCACAGTGTCTTACATGTGGAACAAGCTTTCCTGTATCAGTTCCCCTCCTAGTTTTGCAATCATAGAAAGGTGGAGCATGAAAGCACGGCTCTATAGACATAACTTGACGGCAAGGTGGATTAGGCACGGTGCGGTTTTCCGGCTTGAACATTAGCCACGTCTTCGAACCACTCAGACCCTGAGCTACATACCCAAAAGTTGACCATGCACTTGTTACCATAACATCAGATAAGCTCAACAAATAAATCTCTGCCCATGCTTTCATGTTATGCATTTTCTTGTCTGAATCCTGATGCTCCTCGTGACTTGGCTGATGGAAGCTAATTATCTCACCATTCTCAGTTGGATGTTCCCAATACATGTTCCTGATTCTTTCATAGTATCCTGAGTTCAAAGAAGTAATCAGAACAACTTTGGACCTGATGTTCCCTGTCGAGATAATTGGCTGTTGTGCATTAATCTCTGGTAGTAATTTTTCCTTCAGTGTGCAATCAAGGACCTGATCCAAGACATGCTGAAATGGACCGGTTTCAGTATCGAAGACTCTAATCTGGATACCTAACTTCTCATCAGCTCTGGCCAGATAAGAATCATAGTACCTAGTAATCAAGCCCCAGACAACATTGGTAGGGTGGAACAAGTAACGTCCCAAGTGATGGAAAACAACATCTTTCTGAGGAAACAGCCTCGTGAGTTCCTCTTGGTATGATGGGATCAGAAAAAGTGAAGGTACAAAGTAATTATCGGATCTTAAGATCAGCCATGGGATCTTCTGAAGATGTTGCTGACTATGTTCACAGAAAAAAAGCTTATCATAATCATCATAGTCATGAGCCAGGTGAAGATATAGAAAGGCAGGTTTAGGACCCTTAAAAGAACCATCAGAGTGAATAGCTTCAGCTTTCACCATGTTTCCGTAACTCTCAGGGGAGCCAATACTGAAGTTTTTAAATTGAACAATAGGGAAATCCGGCGGTAGTAACCATGAAGTTTCAGGGAACGGTTCACAGAAAAGATCTGCAGTGCCTTTATCTCCATCTACAAGTAAAACTCTGTTTGTAAGGATGGCATAGAGAAATGCTGAGGCAATAGTCAAGATCCTGTTCCCAAGACCACTATAAGATACCCATACTAAATAGTTGCAATCTCCAGCCATAATATCCTGACCAGATTTTAGTTGCTCAATAGCTTTCTTGTATGACTCTGTATTCGGGCCACATTTCTTCTGGAGAACCTCATGTTCTCTCAATCTTTCCAGAAGGTATGTTGATATTAAATGGGGCGATTCTTTACGATACAATGCTGATCGATATCTACTTATACATGAATGTTTATCAAAACCAGGAGCTAACAAGCCACCAATTAGTCTGTCCCTTTGAACTTTGGAAGACAACATAGTTCCATGCTCCCCTGAACACAGGAAGTGAATAGTTTTATATCAGAGTTCAGATGGGATAATTTGACTTCATTTGTGTAAGACAAATGCTACTTTTCGTTCTTCCATTATATTACATTCATGACATATACATATGTGAGGTCGTGGATATTCTCAGAAAAGAAAAGGAAAGAAATGTGAGGCAACAGTGAATTGTTAACTTTAATTATCAGTTCAATAGAAACAAAAATCTATGCTTCCACGAACAGCGTCATGGCAAAACTTAAATGAGACCTTTTGCCACAGTTTAAGTGGCAAACCAGAACAAATTATTTTATCACAGATGCTATGTGAACGGTGAACCGCCTATAAAAATAAGTACTGGGGATGATACCTACATGCTAAAACACAGTAGCAGTAGCGGTAGCTAGTGCAAATCAAATGTCCACTACTTCAAATGCAGCTATAGGCGAGAACATATTGCAAGATCAAGACTCCACACATACACAATGGTGCTATGCACGTTCTCGAAAAAAAAAAGTGTTACACTGCAGGCGTCAACCAAGGTAACTTAAGACCACTGCGCTTAAAAATATTTTCAGTGACAATTACTATCCCTCCACAGCGATCGATATCCACTTCGCATCACTCACTGAAAGCTAAATTGCTACTGGCCTACTACATATAGTTGTAGGAAAAACAAATGACTGGTACTACAGTTACAGTAAATTCTTCAAAAGCTACACTCAGCCTGTTTGTTTGGCTGTGTCTTGTCGTAAACGATCGTAAATTTTCAACCGGAACAATATTTTTCTCTCACACAAACCAGCCAGCAGTACTTCTTCACGAACTAGCAACGAAACGAACCAGCTAACCGAACACTAACTGCAGCTACAGTAATAGTATGGAGCATAGCATGGGAAAGTCACGAAACCCCAGACATCGATTAAAGACTGACGTCAAGTCTGCCATACAACACGTCACGCCGCGACCCGCACAAAGTACTAGGAGAATTTCAGAGATGCGACCAGATGGCAGTCCCAAACAGTCGAAGACCAAATGGAAACTGTCAAACCGAGGACCACGCGCATGTAGTTAACGTACCATCGCGCGGTCCGGCCTGGTCAAGGCCGCCACGGTCGTCGCCGCCGCCGGAGAGAGTGGTACGATCCGCGCCGGAGAATTGGCAGCCCCTCCTCGCCGCGGAGCCGCCCGCGAGCAGCAGCAACATGACCCCGCACGCCACGAGCGCCGCGATCGACAGGGGCAGCACCGCGACCCTGCCCTTCCTCCCGTGCGGGTGCCCGGGCGCGGACGCCGCCTCCCCTACCGCCTGCGGCGTCGGCATCGGCGGCGGCGAGCGGCGGATCCGCTCCTTGATGTCCATGCGGCGTGGCGCCCGAGCCGAGCCGCAGGGTTCTTCAGTTCTCCCCGCGCTTCTGCCGCGGTGTGGTCTGTGGAAAAGCACAGAGGAGTCCGCAGTCGCGACGTGGGGCGTCGTGTCGCGCCACGAAAGGCGCAGTTCGGGCGCGGACCCGCGCGGCTGAAATAGAGGGCGTTTACGAGGCCGAGCACGTGATGGGGGCCGAGTGGCACAAGGGTTTTCGATGCGTTTGAGGTGAAAACAAGTGGGGTCCCGTACAGCGGCGACGTGACGGCACGGTGCCGAGTGGGGGCGTCCTCGGCACGAAGTTGTCGGTGAAACTGGAGCGACTAGGCGTGGCGATGGAGTCAGGACATCGGACGTGGGGTTCTCGCCTGTTGCACAGTCGTGCCGCGGAGTGAGGTAGTTGAGTCGTTGAGCACTTGCTGGCCGGCCGACCGGGTCATGTCGCTGGGGTGCCGGGTTCGACTTCTGCTTTGGGGCGCATTGACGGGGACTCGCCGGCGTGTGCTTCGTGACCGCTTTGGGGCGCATTGGCTGTTTGGATCCGCTTGTACAGCTTTTTTGATAAGGGTTCGTGGAGACAATAAGAGAGAGTTGAAGAAGAAAATCATGTAACCCCTGTTTGGTGTGAAAGTTTCAAGTAGGAAATCATATGACAGGTCATGATGAACAGTGATGATGTATTTATTTTTCATTAAGAGCATAGTTCTCATCCAATTGCCACCCCTTCCTAGAAAATTGATAAGTGAGAGTTGGCCCTCTAAACTCTCGTTACCCAAAACTCTACGAAACAAACAAATGATTTCTAAACTCCTACCTTCAAACTCTTATTCCATCCTTTCAATTACCCCAACCAAACCTGCCATCAAAGAGTCATTTTCAAGACAAGGGTCATCCAAAACCTTTTTCTACTAAACCATGGAAAACATCTTTTCCCAACTACCATCTTACCAAATTTAAAGATAGGCCTAGCTATATCCTCATGAACTCCAAAGTCAATAATTAAAGGGACATGGTCACTAAAAGCTTTGGATCCTATGTCCTAACAACAGCTAGGAGCTACTTTCAAAAGCAACGCTGCCAAAAACCGAGGGCAGTCATAATTAATTGTTCCTGATTGTTTCACCAAGTGTAAGCCCTACTAGAGTTCTTATATTCATTGCACCAGTCATTTAACATATATTAGCCCAATGATAATTAATCATCCCATTATTCTTCTCATTTTGAGTTCTACAATATTTAAATCCTCACCGACTAAGGTTGGTCTATTTCAATTATCCATCACCATATGAAGTCCCTTAATAAACTCTTGTTTACCTTCCTCATAAGGGGTGCCATACACCACCACTACTAGGAATCTGCACTTACATGACGAACAGCTTTTGTCACTGAAGAAGCCAAATTCATCATAATTTCAATTTTATGATGAATTTATGACGAAAAACGGTTCGTCATAGAAAGCGTGTCACATTTGAACTTTCGTGACGAATCCGAATACATCGTCATAGAAGTGGTTTGATCTGTGACGAAAAACTGACCGTCATAGAACTATTTTGGCATGCGTGGCAGGGGGCTGCCACGCTGGTGGCTGCTTCCGTTGGAGATGATTTCTACATATACATGCTATAGCCGGTTGCACTGGAGATAGTTCGAGTACGTATCACCTTCTTATTGCACAACGTGGCTGTCGGATACCATGAGAAGGGGTACCCTAAGCAAGATCCAAAAACGCATTTGTTAGATTTAGTAAAGATCGAAACCGATTAATAATTTCTTGGGCCTCGGCCGATTCTCCGACTCGCCGAGGCCCCATCACCTGGAGCCTCGGCCGATTCTCCGACTTCGCCGAGGCCTCATCACCGCTGGACCTCGGCCGATTCTCCGATTCGCCCGAGGCCCCCTCACCGCGGGCCTCGGTGGATTCCCCCCAAAGGCCTCGGCCGAGGCCACCACCGACCCTCCGTCTCGCGCAAAGGCGGGCTCGGCGACACTCCGCTACCTCTTCCTTCTCCCGTCCCTCTGGCAAAAGCGTCGTGTCGCATCAACTCGATAGCTGCGCCCGACAACGACCGCATGCACGGCCGCGATGCAATGAGAATGGCCGATGGGGCGGGAGGCGGGATCTGGCGGGGTTACCCGCCATGTACTAACCACCGTGCACATGGGTTGGCGCCCATGCCTCACTATCTTGCCAACTCCTGCACAGAGGACAATGCGGCGTGGGGAGCCACATCTGAACTCTTGTGGCCTCGGAATCGATGCCAGGGCAATAATTCCCTCAAGGCCTCGGCGGCTTGCTCCGAGGGCTCGGCGGCCCGAGGACCCATGTCCGCCAAAGCCCCCGCGATGGCAGCCCTCGGCACCTCTGAGCCACAGCCCCTACGGCGTCATCACGCGATGACCTACCGTCCCCGTGGCGGGGGTTACCCGTCACTATGCTATCCACCGTGCACATGGTTGACACCCATGCCTCCTTTGTCTTTGCCAACTCTGCTCCAAGGACAACGCGGCATGGGGAGCCACGTCTGAGCTCTTGTGGCCTCGGAATCGATACCGGGGCCAATAACTCCCCCAAAGGCCTCAACAGTTTGCTTCACGGGCTCGGCGGCTGAGGTCCATGACCACCGAGCCCCCACGATGGCTCGGCCTCGGCATCTGCAGAGCCGCTGCTCCCTCTGACGTCATTACGGCGACCAACCGTCGCCGCCCGCCATGTCACTGCATCAAGCCGTCTGGGAGCCCCACGACGCACAAGGCAAAGTATGACCAGCATGTCACTTCCGCGCATGACAAGGGCGGGGCCACTCCATCGACCATACCACAACGATTGTGGCGACTACGAGGCTCGGACCGCCACCCCATTCTGAAGCGCTATGTAGCACCACATGCACGGTCCGGTCCTCCCTTAGAGTATAAAGGGAGGGGCCGGGGCCATTCTGAGGGAGGCCGGAAAAGGCGAACACGCCGATAGAACCCACGCACTCCTCTGCTGCTTGGGAACAACGCCTCAAGCGGCCCGCACCACACTTTCGCCGAGACACAGGGCTAGTTCCTCTCTCTCACCTAGCTTGTAACCCCCTACTACGAGCACTCCGGTGCAAGGAATACAAGATCGATCTCTCGGGTGGGCGTAGGGCCTCGATTGCTGAACCGATATAAACCTTGTGTCTCTTTGCGCCACCATCCGGGATTAGGGGCACGCAGCACAAATTCACTCGTTGGTTGAGGGACCCCGGTTCCAAAACACCGACAGTTAGCGCGCGCCGGTAAGGGCGCTGCGTGTCGACCGTCATCCTAGCAAGTTTGGGATGGCGGACTACATACGACCATTGCGTCTCGGCACCATAGTTTGGTTGGGGAGCCTAGAGTTCATGTCTCTAGGGCATGAGTGCGACATGGTGCTCCTCACTCCTCGAACCCCCACCGTCCGACGACGAAGTCGCGCCCGGCAACCAGTAGCGCGGCGCGGCGCCCGGGCGGCCGCTCTCGCCACGCTTCGCCCGAGCACGGCGCGAGCAAGGCCACCCGACCTTCTGCGAGCCCAGGCGACCGCGCCTCTCCCGCCCGATGTCCTCGACCAGGTTGTTGATGCAGGGGTCCTGGGCTGAGGACACTGTCGACTGAGCTGGGCGAAGGAAAATCGCCGGTGGCTTCTGGCGATGCCCGGTCGTCTAACCCGCTCCGCCACTCCCTAAAGAGCCGACCCGTGGCGAGAATATGGAGCGGCCCCGTCCCCATACCCCTTTGGGTTGAGAAATGCCGCCGCCTCTTACGCCTCGCTTATGCGCCACTCCACGAGCACCCCTCGGAGCGCCGCCCGGTAACCGCTCTCTCGACTTGAGCACCGCTCCGACTCCTCGGGACGAGGGCGAGGCATGGCCCGGTGGATTTCTCCGAACTTCACAACCACAGGGATTTGCGCCAATTCTTGGCATAGCGACTCTTGCCTCGGCTACTCCGACTCCGACGATGAAGGGACTTCGATCCATCTCGTGAGTGCTTCCACGTCGGGCTCGGGATGCCAAAAAAGCGGCGAAGGAGCGAGAGGACAGGCAACCATTCCCGCCCGGGCGGGGGCGGCCTCCACCACCGCGTCTCGAGGCCCGGCGACGGGCGAGAATCCCGCCCGCGGGGCATCCAGACGCCAGACTGGAGCAGCTCCACGAGCTTCAAGCCAAGGTCGAACAAGACCGACTCATTCGCAATGACAGCTTGGGGACACTCTCGGCGGGAAGAAGCGGCAAAGAAGCGCGATGAGCGGAGGGCGAGGGAGGGCCCGCGTCGTCCACCACCACCATCATCAACGGCAACGAGGGGATGAGCCGCCCCAATCTTTAACCGCGCTAGCGAATGTCGCGGCCCAGCTGCGATGCTAGTCCGAGCAATGCTCGAGGCCCCTCTACCACCGAGACCTCGCCAATAAAGCCCGAGGCCATGGCGATTGACGCAGCTCCCCGAAACCTCCCGGTAGGCCGAAAATTTGGCGAGTCCCTTTCCTTGATCGCCTCGTTCGGGAAGAGCTTCCTGGCGAGCGAACCGAAGCCGGCGGCGGCTCAAGGCGCCGCCAAGACTTTCACGTCCTCGCGACGGCGAGTTGTATAAGCGTAGCCCATCCGGTATTCTCCAACGATGCATCACCACCGAGGTGGCCAATCCTTACTTTGGGACTTGCAGCGCGGAGTCTGCGGGCACCACCTGCGGCGCCTCGGGCGCTCGTGGTAACGCGCCTTCCGCCAAAGGTTTCTATTGGCCGACGGCGGTGGCCGGCGCCACGAGGCTAAATGCGCTCTGCGAGGATGCCCGATGCCTACGCTCGACAGACGCACCTCCGGCCCAAGCCCTCAAACGATCCCCATCACATGGCCATTCGCCGTATGAAATTTGGACATGGTTGAGCCTCTGCAAAAAAGGCACCGGGGCTATACCCATCTGCTTTGGTAGCTATCGACAAATTCTCCAAATGGATCGAGGCTCGTCCGATCGCTCGAGATCAAATCCGA